CAATCTTGCACGCTATTTCACAACGTGGCGTCACCGTTGTTTCCTTTGTTCGGTGCCGAACACAATTTGTTTTCCTTATCGTATTTTGAATTTTTACTTCTGACACCATGTAATAATTGTTGAATTATTATAATTAAAAGACTTTAATTATTTAAGTTGAATGATATTGCGTAGTTTATTGTATATCTTAATCATTTTCCCTTGGTAATGGTTGACGCTCAACTAACTACTCGATATATGTATCTTGTGACTTTCATTGATGGGTGTGTTCCTTATAACTACATACATACATCGTTAATCGACTAGCAGCGACACCTAGTGACGAACTATACTTGTTTACTATCGAACAAGCAATATTATAACAACATGACATTTAACAAATTTAACATATTTGATAAAATTAACTAAAAACGATTTATTGCATTTAACAAAACAAAAAAAAAGGACAGTTTTTGTTCATGTTTGACAATAGTATAAGTAAGGTAGACACGGTAGAAATGGGCTTAATAGACACTAACACAGTGAATTCCACTGCTAACGTAATTAATAAACTAGAAGTAGAAAATCAGGATTTAAGCGTTATAAGCACACTATTAATTATCATTGTAATATTAAAGTCAGCCAGTCTGTTTTTCAAAATTTACAAAATACATAACAAATGCCAAAAAAAAAAAAAACAAAGCAAGGCAAACGATCTGGATAAGACTCAAATTTAATCTTTGAAACAATGATAATTGGTAGTTATAATTTGTATACAATATATACAATATTAAAATAAAATAAAATAAAACAAAAGAATATATATTTTCGAATCAGGCAATGTGTACTAATCAACTAATTAGTATAAATAATCTAAATTATGAATCACGTTCGAACTATGATGTGGTTAAAACAAACAATGGAAGTAGAAAAGAAGAAGTCATGTCTCGATTATCCAAAAATTTTCCACCACAGTTTAATCCAGATTTGGGGCACAGATGCCAATTCAAACAGAAGACGTTTCCAGACAATCCAAAATAAAGCTTTACGCCTAATAACTGGCTGCAGCTGGTATGTCAGTAATCTGACCCTTCACAGAGATCTGAATATTACGCTAATAGAAGATCAGATCTCTTTCTACTCCAGTCGCTATAACGAAAGACTGATAAACCACCAAAACAGATCTGCACAAGCCCTTGTCGGATGTATTCCTATAAATAGACTGAAGAAAAGACACTTCGGTCTTCTACAAAACAATTAAAAACAATTCTTAAGAAGACAGCTTAGCCTTAACCTTATGTAGAGCAGGAGAAAATAAACTAAGAAACAAACATTGTTAAATGCAAATTTTGAAGCATGTACATGTTTAAAAACTCATATTATCTGTTAATATAATAAAGATTTTCATAATAAAAAAAAAAAAAAAAAAAACCACAGTTTAAAGCAAAATTAAATGAATTATGCACTTATTATACAGATATATTTGGACTAGAAACCGAATCCATTTCAACGAATAATTTTTATAAACAACAGCTAAGATTGAAAGACGATGAAAAATTATAAAAGTCCTCACCGCCAAAAAGAAGAAATCCAAAAACTAATTGACGACAAAATTGTCGAAACATCTGTGTCAGAATATAATAGCTACCTAGAATTGATGATATTTTAGATCAACTATGTAGGGCGAAATATTTTTCATGCCTTGACTTTATGTCAGGTTTTCACCAAATTTAACTCGACAATAATTAAATAGATATAACGTCTTTTTGAACGAGCATTCGCTTCACGCGATTACCATTTGGTTTAAAAATAGCGCCGAATTCATTTCAGAGAATGATGACTATAGCATTCTCTGGACTTGAACCTCCGCTAGCATTCCTTTATATGGATGACCTAATAGTAATTGGTTGTTCCGAAAAGCATATGGTTAAAAACCTAACTGATGTTTTTGGCAAATGCAGGATATACAACTTAAAGCTACATCCTGAAAAATGTTCATTTTTTATGCATGAAGTCACATTTCTGGGATACAAATACACAGACAAAAACGCAGACAAAAAATCTTACTAGACAACAAGAAATACGAAGTCATTCAAAATTACCCAATCCCACATGATGCGGACAATTATTATAGACGATTTATTAAAAACTTCGCCGACTATGCACGGCACATAACTAGACTAAATAAAAATAATGTTCCATTTGAATGGACGGATGATGGTCACAATGCGTTTTTATACTTAAAATCTCAACTTATTAAACCGACACTGTTACAATACCCAGACTTCAGAAAAGAATTTTGTATAATAACGATTGCGAGTAAGCAAGCGTGTGGAGCGGTTTTAACTCAAAACCACAACGGACTCCAACTTCCAGTTGCATACGCATCCAAATCATTCACCAAGGGAGAAAGTTACAATATAACGGAACAGGAACTAGAAGCAATTCATTGGGAAATAACACATTTCAGACCATATATTTATGTTAAACATTTCACTGTCAAAACAGATCATAGACCACTTATATATTTATTTTCAATGGTTTATTCAAGTTCTAAATTAACACGTATGAGGCTTGAGTTAGAGGAACATAATTTTACGATAGAGTAGCTAAAGGGAAAAGATAATTATGTAGCTGATGCGTTAGCAAGAATAACCATCAAAGAACTACAAAACATAACAGGGAATGTCAAGAAAGTCACTACAAGATACCAAAGTAGACAAAATCCTGCGCAGGAAATGAAAAAGTTGAATTGCAATCTACATAAGAAGCTTCAAAGCCCAACGTATATGAAGTCATCAAGAATGACGAAGAACGTAAAGTAGTGACCTTGTATGTAAAAAATATGCTGTTTCTTTAAACATGGTAAGAAAATTACAGCAAGATATGATGTTAGCGATTTATATACTAATGGAACTCTTGACTTGGGTCAGTTTTTCCAAAGGCATAAAACGCAAGCCGGTATACATAACATGAACATGTTTGAATTGATAATTTAAAGAAAATGGGCAATGGGCTACATTAAAAGTAGCGCTACTCAATCCGGTGACCCAAATAATAAATGAACAGGAAAAAGAAGCTATTTTGTCTACATACCATGACGATCCTATACAAGGAAGTCACAGAAGCATTACAAAAACTTTGACCAAGGTCAAAAGACATTATTTTTGGAAGGGTATGACTCGGGATATAACTGAGTACTTACGAAAATGTCAAAAATGACGAAATGACCAAATATAACATCTACTGCACACCACCACCAGACATTTGGAACAATCGAAAGAAGTCATAGAACTTTCAATGAATTCATACGCTCTTATATATCGGTTGATAAAACTGACTGGGAAGTATGGCTTCAATATCGTTTGCTTTAGTAGTAATAAAGAAAAATTAAACACAAAAAAGTAGATTTTATCAGGGTTCGAACTCGCAACTAACCGCACCACTTGCCGCCACCTCTACTCAAGAGCCACATCAATAATTGAGTTTTAATGAGAACAAAACCAATTAAAATAGCAGCACAGAAAACAATACAATCGCAATTGCAGTGCTGTTGATAGAATTCAAAGCAAACACGCATGAATGTGTGTGCGTACATGTATATAGAAATTCTTGGAATTTGCGCAGCAGCTATGCTGCTAACACGTGCGCACATAACCTTTGTGTTTCTTAACCGATCTTAACGAAATTTTCGACTGTGCATCTTATTGTAGAATAGAATATAGAATATTTGTGTATTATCAAATAGTCAATATCATATAAATTGTGGCTTAAATTGATGGGCAATACAAGTAGGATAATTAACTTGGTTTGTAGCTTAGTGGTGGTAGCGGGGAGGTGGCGATAGGTATGAAATGAAAGATACTTCATATATGTGTATATACTATTCTAAAAGCTACATGTCAAGTTTGGTGACTCTAGCTCTTATTATTTACCAAAATTCCTCAAAAAACAGTATTTCGTTATTGATTTTAACCGATTACTTGGAAACGGAGCAAGTTATCGAATATCGGAAACAAGCTCGACCTGTGCGGGGACTAAGAGAACCTACAGCTATTTAAAGTCTCTAGCTCTTATAGGTTCTGAGATCCTTGCCTTCATACATACGGACAGACGGACAGACAAACAGACGGACATGGCCAGATGACTCGGCTATTCATGCTGATCAAGAATAAATATACTTTATGGGGTCTGAGATGCTTCCTTCTGCCTGTTACATACATTTGCACAAAAAAATGATACCCTGTTTACCCATTTTTAATGGGTTCAGGGTATAAAAACACCACACCACAAAAAACATGATACGTTGTGGCAGACCGCGTAAGCCAACAGAATAGAATGCCTACACAAACTACACAAACATTAATATCAGTGAAAAGACAATTCGAAGACGCTTAAAAGAAGCTGATTACGGACGTCTGTCCGTACGTATGAACGCAAGGATATCAGAACCTATAAGAGCTAGAGAAATTGAAGTTTTGGCTGTAGGTCCACCTAGTGCCCGCGTAGATCGAGTTTGTTGCCGATATTCGATGCGGTTAGTTGCGAGTTCGAACTCTGCCAAGGGAACAATTTTTTTTTATTTTTCTTTATTACTACTAAATCAAACGAGCGCGTAGCTCGAGCTGCATTTGGTGTTGGAATAAGAGGGTTCAGGGTATCCCCTAGTCGAGAGCTCCCGACTGGAACCTCTTACTTGTTTATATTTATTAATTTGATAATTAACTGTTTGGCGGGGTACATTATATAATTTACTGATATTTTCTACGGAAATACCAGAGTTATACTTCGCCACCATATAATTTTTAACAAATTCAGTTAATTCAGTTGTTTTACCCATAGCTAAGCAAAAAAATGTCAAAATATTTATGCCGTCGACTGTAAGCCATTAAAAATTGACAAAATTCTTGATTCAAAAAATGCTTTTTATTACAAATATTTTATACTTTCAATGATTTTGTTTAACATAACAATACATTGAAACTATTAATTCAAATGGTAAATTAATTGATTATGATGAGGTTGTCTGATTTTCGCCAGGAACCTTTATTTCAATGATTTTTTTCCACTAACTTCTTCGAAAGCCGAGTTTTTTTTTATTTTCAGCTTCTGTAAAAAGATACAAGGTACATTTATGTACACATGAAAAAATCATATACATATGAAGTTGATAAAATATTGGTCCTTACCTTTGGCTTTATCTGCCGCTGCATTGAGACTTTTTTTATCATAAAATTCTGTAAAAAATGTTTAATATAAAATAAAACTTGTATTATATACTTGAACGTTTATATGATATTAATTTATTTTGACATTCTGTTTACCCTGGATGCTGCAGTGGCTTGCCATATCAACTTCGCCATCAGGGCTATTTCAATCAGCGTCAATAAATATATTGCAAGGGGTATTAACACACGTACATTTATGCATGATAAATATTTTTACTGAATTTAAAATATGTACTCAGGTATGTATGTGCATATTATTATTATATAAATACATTTTTTTTGTTATTCCGAGAATTTCACTTCTAAATATACCCTTGCAGAGGGTATTATAATTTTGTCGTGAAATGTGTAACGCATAGAAGGAGACATCTCCGACCCCATAACGTATATATATTCTTGATCAGTATCAACAGCCGAGTTGATATAGCCATGTCCGTCTGTCTGTTTCTATGCGAACTAGTCTCTCAGTTTAAAAGCTATCTTTATGAAACTTTGCAGAAGTCCCTCTTTCTGTTGCACGCAGTTCATATGTCAAAACCAGCTGGATCGGACCACTATATCATATAGCTGCCATAGGAACCATCGGTCGAAAAGTAGGTTCTTGTATGAAAAACATTTTTGTTTATAAAGATATCTTGATCAAACTCGGCATTTATTAGTTGCACCATGCTCCTCATATATATGCAAAATCCTATTAAGATCGGAACGCTATATCATATAGGCGCCATAGGAACGATCGGTCGAAATTAAGTTTTATGGAAACCTTTTTTGTTTTTCAAGACATCTTAACCTTACTCGGTTAATTAACTGTCATTAAGTATTTTTCCTGTGCTTCCTAGATACGGGCAAGGCACTATGATCATTATGAAAAGGTTGGGTCTGCAAGGGTATTAAATGTTCGGCGTGCCGATGATAGCCCTTCCTTCTCGTTTTAATTTGTATCTGTTCAGCGGAAATTCATAGCACATATTAAGGCTCACATAGTGTATGTAGAAGTACACATACATACATATACATAAGTAAAGCGATTTCCTAAAAGTTATTATATACCCATAAACATGCATTAAAAATTTTACTTACCATTTAGGTTTTTGTATTTTTGATCAAGGCAAAATGCAAATGCAGCTGTATCTATAATAGTAGCAGCGTATTTCGTGCCTCTGAACGTAACTAAACAATAGAACATATTCAATATCACTCTTTCTTCCGGAAGTACATAATACTTTCCACATTTAACTAAAAAAACATTTTTGTTTTTGTACTTTTTACTTCGTCGCGAAACACTTCAAAATTAAATAAGGCGCACAGCATTAGCGATTACGATTATATTTACTAAACAGTTTTCCCCCAGGATTAGAGCGAGTGCCTCGCGAAATGAAATAGCAATCCTAAAATCAAAAATAATGTATTACCATTATATATAATAGTTTTTTTTTAAGCTGAGGAAAAATCAAGTTAACGTAAAATAAACTTTACAATCATACCTTTGCGTCTTTCACTATAATATTCATTAGGTCTTCTTGCAAAGAATCAGTAAGATCCTTGTGCGCCGCTCCAAAGACTAAGATGTTTTTTCCTTTAGACCAGTCGTCCATGATAATCGACTTCTGGCGTCGAGTCTAGCCAGTTCGATACATTTGATGCCATGGAACTTATGTTTCATCATCTATTCCAAACTACGATAAATGAAAAAATGTAATTATTAAATTGAAAAATTAAAACAACATAACATAAATTTGTTATCAATATATTATTAATTTTGCGAAAAATGTGAAACACGTCTCAAATGATTTTTCTTATAGATCTTTGGAAACGAATTTGAGCGCGAAACGTCACCCACCAAATCTTTGACCCCCATTTCCACCAAGGAGGAACGGATTTTTCAAAAAGTGTGAGACACCCCTCAAATGAATTTGAACAAAGATCTTTGAAAATAAGTTAGGGACGATCGGAACGTAAACAAAAAACTTTCACACAACCGTTTTTCGCCAATTTAGCACTGTTGCGGGTGGACTTCCCAAATCGCTGAAATACGTATTTATTAAGTTCTTATGTAGAGCTTTGAAAATACGTTTGATGCAAATCGGACACAACTTAAAACTTCGCCCAAAAAATCTTTAAATCGCATTCCCCCCGATGAAGTTTGAATTCTGCGAAAAGTATGAAACACGTCTCAAATGATTTTTCTTATAGATCTTTGGCAACGAATTTGAGCGCGAAACGTCACCCACCAAATCTTTGACCTCCATTTCCACCAAGGAGGAACGGATTTTCCTAAAAGTGTGAAACACCCCTCAAATAAATTTGAACAAAGATCTTTGAAAATAAGTTTGAGGACGATCGGATTGTAAACAAAGAAGTTACATACAAACGTTTTTCGCGATTTTTCCACACTTGCGGGTGGAATTTCCCGAAACCCCGTCTTAACGTGCACCTACATCACATTAGGTAACTATAGTGCAAATTTCAGCTTCCTAGCTCTTACGGTTTGGGCTGTGCGTTGATCACCAATCAGTCAGTCAGTCAGTCAGTACAAACAGTTATATATATAGAGATTATACTGAAAATGATTACTTGTTAGCTATTCTGTGATACTTACTGCTTCGACGTTTCATCATTTTTTTGGGAGGCGAATAATTTGCGTCATCTGACGTACATACGGACACCGGCGGCTCTTCATCATTAGACTCATCTGAATAACTTATTTCAGCTTCCTAGCTCTGACGGTTTGGGCTGTGATCACCAATCAGTCAGTCAGTCATTCAGTCAGCCAGTCAGGACAAACAGTTTTATATATAGAGATTATGCTATGCATAATGTATGTATATGTGAAAATAATTATATTACAGAGTTTATTAATAATATATTTATTTTATTAATAATTATATTTTGTTATGTATGTATGTACACCATTATTACCTCGATTTTTCTCCACATGAACAACTTTTCCCGTAATTCAATTCTGGGTCCAAGTAGTGGTATCATTTCCTTAAAATCGTCACCTTTCATGTACTTTAAAGTGTCGTATGTAATATGTGCTTCTAAATTACCATGAAACAGATTATAGACATTATAAAACGAACAACAGTTAACAAAAACTAACTTCGACAAAGTTAAAATTTCATAATAAAAAATATACATATATACACAAACGCGATTAATTTCGTCACTTTTCTACAAACATACATACATATGTGTGTACATACTTTACATGTGTGTATGTTTTTTTTTTTAAATTTTTTTTTTTTGTATTGTAAAAAGAAAGGAAACATGTTTAACATTTTAGAATGTGTACAAGAGAGGAAAATAGGACAATCAGAGAAGGACAGGATAGTTTATGGAGAGTAGAAAGAGTCCCGCTCCTGCGGGACAACCGCAAGGTACTACTTCGCAGGGCGGGGTACAGCTGTATGTCAGCCGCTCATCAGTCGATGGCGCGTCGGGTCCTCTCCCGTCGTCACAGCTCCTTCATTATATCCGATGCCATGGTAGCAACGGCTGTCCATCCATTTTCAGTGGCCATCATTCGCGCCACGAGATTCTCCGGGGACAAATCATTTCTGCCCGCCGTCGCTTTTTTTCCGCTCGCGTCTATAGAGTGGGCAGTAGAACAATGCGTGCTCCGCGTCCTCAACCACACCGTGCCCGCAGTGCTCGCAGAAGGGATCGTCCTCATGTTTAAGCCTGTGCAGGTACGCCTTAAGGCAGCCATGCCCAGTCAATACTTGGGCAAGGTAGTGGTCTACCTCGCCGTGTCACCGCTGTAGCCAAGGCTTCAGGTTTGGGATCAGTCTGTGGGTCCATCTACCATTTGAGCTCCCATCCCATTTGTTTTGCTATTGTTCGATGGTGTTGTCCCTCAGTTTCCTGTTGGTGATTGCCCCGCTTTGCCTTTCGGCCGCCATCACGCCGAGTGGGATCATGCCTGCCAGCACTAAGGCCGCGTCTTCCGATACTGTGCGGAAGCAGGTGGCTACACGCAATGCACATCGACGATATGCGGCCTTGCATCCTCGGCTGTAAGATGCAACCTCCATTGCGGGGGCCCATATGGAAGATCCGTAGAGGATTGTGGACGTCACCACACCAGCGATTAGCCTTCTGCTCCTCTGCCTTGGGCCTTTGGTGTTCGCCATCATTCGGCTTATGGCTGTTGTAACCCTGGCTGCTTTGTAGCTAATATACTCCAGGTGCTTTTTATACGACAGTCTGTGGTCTATCATGACGCCCAGGTATTTGATGGCGGGCTTTGACTTAATGATAGCACTGCCAACGCGCAACGAGGCCGTCTCAACTATCTTTCTGCTACTTTTTAAAACTGCCTCCGACTTCTGCTCCGCTAGCGCGAGTCCGTTCTGGGATAGCCACTCAATTATCCTGTCGATGGCCGCACTGCTCCTAAGAGTGACCTCATCGAGTTTCTTCGCCGCAGTCACAACAGCAATGTCATCGGCGAACCCAATGATTGTGTTGCCCTCTGGTAGGCAAAGGCGCAGAACTCCATCGTACATGACGTTCCACAGTAGCGGCCGAGAACAGAGCCCTGGGGAACGCCTCCAGTTACCGTCTTCAGTGTCGTAAATTAGCACTCTGTCCTGGAAGTAGCTGGTCACTAACTGTATTAACTGGCTCGGGATTTGTCTGGCTGTTAGAGCTTCTCGGATTTTCGTCCAATTCGCTGAGTTGAACGCGTTCCTGACATCCAAAGTACAGACTAGGCAGTACTGTTTGGTGCCACCTGCCCATCTTGTTCCTTGGATTACGCCTTCTACTAGTTTAGTCACGGCCCTGATGGCATCCGTGGTGCTTCCGTGTTTCCTGAAGCCAAATTGACGTTCAGACAGCCCGTGAACTTCAGCAAGCATTCTAGGCAATTGCAAATTAGCCGCTCAAATATTTTCCCCATCGTGTCCAGCATACACAGGGGGCGGTATGAGGAGGGATCATCCAGTTCCTTGCCGGGCTTCGGGATGAGCACAAACCGCTGGAGCTTCCATCTACGTGGTGCAGTGCCTTCCGCTATACATTGATTGTACAGCTCCACGAAACTTCTGGGGTGTGCAGCGATGACAGCTTTGATTA